AAATTAAACAACAATCAAAAACCACTCCTGAAGCTTAGCCAAGGGTGGTTTTGAATGTTATAGATGTAGTTTTTGGTTCCCCAACAAAAAACAGACAAAAGAAAACTTTAAAAAGATATAATTCCATGATTTCTCCTAATTCTATCATTGATTATGTTATACTAATTTTTTTAAAAGTAATGTATTAATTTTTGCAAGGATTCTAGAGTGCAAAACCAAAAAGATAGAAGATGTTCACTAATGAGATTGAATCTATATGCTCACAATAATAATCCATACCTTCAACTCAACACCTTACACAAGAAAGTTAGAACTATAGTGTAGACTACCCATGAGTCTATGTTATTGACTTTTTTTTAGTAGTTGTCTCTGTTCTAGTCTCATTATTTTTGCAGGAAACTGATCTATGTTTATGTTGATAAAAGTTGTCTATGTTTGTTTATGTGAAGTCTATATTAATGGTAGTGATAAACATAGATATTTAGTTTATGGTGGATAGAAGCGAACTATTTTATAAATCTTTAGTTGTGTTTGATAGTTTTTGTCTATATCTTTAGAGGTGTAGCTGTGTTTTAAAGCTTATGGACAAAATAAAAAGTGATTTTCAATCATTGCTTCTCAATTTATAAATATTATTCCACTTGTATATTTTGTTTTTTAGTTGATGCACAAGATGGAACCTATTTTTCTATACAAAATTTTCAACTTAATATTGTATTTAGTACCACAATGGTATGCACAATACAATTTAATAAGGAAAATGACAAGTTATATTTTAAAAGAAAATATTGTATAATACAGTTTCCAAGACAACTTGATCTTAACATTAAAATACATTTTACACTTACCATTTCTATGTTTTAAACCATTTCTATGAACAAAACCAGTACATACAATAATGACATAAGAAAATAGATCATGGCTATAAGACTCATAACAAAAGCGTTATTTCAAAGCTCAACTATTTGCTGATTTACTTGCCATGTTTCTTTGTGGTGCCCTTTTTGTGCTCTATATTACTCAATATTTCCTTAGCAAAGTATAACTTGTCCTCAACATTGCTCAAGTTTTCCTCTACACTTTTCAACTTTTGTTCAGCTACCTATAACTTAGACTTTACTAACACTATTTCAACAATAAAGTTATCAAGCCCTTTTATTTCATTTTTTTCAATATCTAATTTAGCCCTTAATTCACTATTCAACTGCTCATTCAACCTTTTTTTTTCTTGTATTAAATTCAATAGATTAACAAAGATGAGGCTCCATTGGATCATACCCAAAATTTGCACTTCCTCTTCCCCTATAATACCATTTTTCACAAACCATCAAATTGACACCAAGAAAAAATAGTAGAGTAATAAAAGAAACTTTTTGTCAAAATCTAGAAGAAAAAAAATGGAGAAAAATCCATTACAAACCCTAGATGCAAAAACTTGAGGAAACAACCCCACTAATGGAAAATTAAACATTTTATTTTACCATCTATCAAAAATAGGGCATGCCATGTATCTTCTCCAAGGATCATTAGAGCTTGAAGGTATCATAATTGAAACACTAATCCTACAATCACAACTAGCTTTGACCATAAGAATCAAATTAGATCTACTGCTCAAGTGTACAAAGGATGAACTGGAGCTTGACATTTTTGTCTCTAAACCCATGAGATCTATTTTCCATTTGTGATTTGAAACTAGATCTAGGATGAAAACAAAGAGGAAAAAAAGAGAGAGCATTGATGTAGAAAAAGAGAGAGAGAGAGAGAGCGATTAAGAGAAAGAGCGATTTTGAGATAACTGTATAAAAGATAGAAATATGATTTAAAACAAATAAATGAACCCCACTAAACTAATTTGTATTTTTTGAAAAACTAATTTGGTCCAATTAGCAAAAAACATAAGCAAATTAAGGATGTGTTGATATATATCACTATTTTGTTTAGAAAATTCATCTGCTACATCAACATCCTCATTTCTAAATCCTTAAAGAGGGAGAAAAAACAAAAAACTCAAAGTTGACATTCTTAAATAGAAAAAGTTAAAAGTCAACTACCTTATTTAGAAATTAACAAAATTTATATCTTTAAATAAAAAAATTACAAAATTCATATCCTTATTTGCACCTTTAGCAGAAAATTTGCCTAGTAAAATCATCAAGAGCTAATAGAATTTTATAGGTTGGACTCTACTTTCTCATTTTGTTCACTAACATCGATGTATTTAGGAATCTTTTATTGGGATATTTCTACTTGCATTTTAAGGTTCACTAGGGTCCTTGCACAAATTGAGTAGTTTGAGGGCTCATTCGCATTTTTTTTTTTGTTCAAGGGTTAATGTGCTAAAATGGGGTAGGTTTAGGGGCTTGACAATAGGTTTTGCTTATGCATTGTTGTTTGTCCAATTAAAAGATAAAATTGTAAAACAAATGGAAAGATAAAGGTCTAAATATACAACAACTCCTTAATGAAAATCAAGAGACAATATAATACTATAGTATCATATAAAATGCTACCATATACATTAATTAGGGTATACATTTAATAATTTATAAAATATAAAGATTTTAAAAAAATGAGGGTTTTTCTAAATTAGAGGGTGACTGTAAATGATAATTATTATATTATTCCAAATTAATTTTAAAAATAATGATGAAGATTTAAAAAACAAGGATATATAAAAAAATGCATGAGATGAAAAACTAAAAAAAAAAATAGCAACTAAATGAGATGAAAGTATGTAACATTGTAAGTAACAATTAACAATGACATTGTTGTTGAAGTAGCTAGCTTAAAAGTAAGGCTCACTAAAAAAGTGATGTGATTCTATAATTTTATACATATATGGCATACAAGATTTTAACATATATGACATATATCTTTATATCTTTATATCTTTATCTTTATATAATACGATATATATGCTACCTAACTATTTATTAAATACTAATTTTGTGATTTTACTTTAATTATTAAAGAAAAAATTTGTTAAAAAAATATATTATTTTGATAAAAGTAAAAATCAAGATATGCTAACACTTTAAACGTCAAGATTTCTATAAAATTGTTAATATATTCTTAACAAATATTTTTATGTGTTGATTCATGAAAAGTATTTTAGTATTTTTATTATCAGTACAAGGGTTGGATCCATTAATAAGCAAGTGACATTTTATAAGTTAGATATAAGATTCAAATCTTAGGATTAATACTTAAAAAATTAATTTTCCTATATGCACTAAGCCAATAATCTCCTAGGGGAAGATTAGTCTTGAAGTACTGATCTAGTGATATCTTGACTGTAAATACTAAAAAAACAAATAAATTAAAGAATTACAATGCATAACAATTATTTATGAGATTTTTCTTTTTACATTTCTTTTACTTCAACCACCACCATTTTTAAAAAGAAATTTATTTGAATTATTCACCTTTTAAATAATCATTTTACCTATTTATATCATATCTATTTGAATGCCAATATAATTGCAAATTATTATAATAAAAGGTTAATAACTAACAATCATTATTCTTTTCTAATTATATGTTTATTATTATTTATTATTATATATGAAGATTTTCTTTTCAATTTTTTCTTGAATAATTACTATATTATTTCATATTAATACATATTGATTCTTGATCACTTATATATAAGTCAATTAAATTTTCTCTCCATTGAAAACTTAAAACAATTTGTATTCCTCCCCTCTATAATTTCTTTTCCCTGTCAATAATTAATAGTTGTTGCTTAGTTAATTGTTGTTGAAAAATTACATTTGGTATATTTTAATTATTCTATTTTTTTACTATTTCTTTTATATATACATATTTCTGTGCTTTATTTTCCCTTTGGTCTATTTTTTTTTTGTTCTACATTTTTTTATAAAAGATAGGATGAATGTTGCTTTGAAAGAGTTCTATAACAATGTTGCTTTGAAGATATGTCATAAACTTTGCTACATGTGTCATAAACTTTGCTACATACGTCCCATAACAATATTTATTTGCCCTTGAGTCAGGAGGAGGAAACAAACAATTTCTAGTCAACTATCTGCCGGTTCCCCTCGTCCATCTCAAACCTGATCTCCTAAACCTAGAAACATAAGTAGCTCCACAGAGATTCTTCAATGGCAATACTTTGGCAAGAAGATTGAAGATCATGAAATCCAAGTTGGCTAATAAAGAGACAATCCTGCATTCCCAACAAGAAAGATATTAATCCCATTAAACAATGGAACTTTTATAATAGAATTTCCCAAGTCACGTGCAAGGAAGTTAAAGAAAGATCAATTGTGAATGCAAAAGTAGTTAATGACATGGTCAAAGTTACGTGCACTAACGCAAACAAGTCTCGTCTGGGAAAGGCTCAAGAAATGAAAGCATCCAAATTTAAATAATCATCAGGGTAAGGGTGTCATAAAAGCCACTATCCTCTCTAACTAGCAACAGGCAAAACAAACAAGCAAGTAGTGCTTTCATTTCTTGAGAACGGCATTTATAATAGTGATAATCCAAACCAAAATGTATGATATAGTTTGAATTATATTGGACTTATTATATAAATTATTTAATGAGAATGTGTCTTTTAATATTATGGTTTTTTTTTTCATTTAATAATTTATATTTTATAATTTTGATTCAATCTAAATTGTAAAATAAATTTTTTAATTCAAATACTTACATTTTTTTTTTTGGCACTTATAAGAGGGTTTGTTTTAACCTATTGAAAATAACTATAAATAATTAATTTTAATCAAATAAATTAAACATTTTAAATTATAAACATTAATAATTAATTAGTAACAACTTATTAATCAAGTGAAAGAACATGCAAGGTCTCTGGCTCGAATCGTTCGAGTGTTCTGAATTGAGAATCAGGCACTTGTAGCTGTTCCAGAGGTAGAAACACGTTCATAATCCAAAAGAGACCGTTAAACGTTATAACTAACCATTTTTTTCTCATTCTCCCTCCTCTTAGCCTTAACCATCGGATCCTCTGGTTTACCATCTCAAATACATGATACATCCCAAACACAATGCCATTTGCAATTCTTTCTGTAAATTGTTCCAATTTTCCATTTTCCTCTTCCCTTTTTCCTTGGAATTATTCCCATTTTTGCAGGTTAATCCCATATCTCGAATGAATCACGGTTTCTCATTTCAGAAATTTTCTTTTCTCTTTCACTGATCGCCGTCTTAATTTTTGTTTTTCTAATTTTTAGTGTACATTTGCAGCGGCTATGGATAGAATGAGGCCGGAGTACACAAGGCAGAGAAGTTCGGGGGGCACGCCTGGGCCTCCGGGATCACCAATGGCGTCTCCACTGACCAGGCACGTGCGTTCGGGATCAACGAATATTGGCCATTCTAGAAAGGCCCAAACAAAAGCCGCAGCGCAGAGGCTTGCTGCTGTGATGTCGCACCAAAATGATGACGATGACGACGGCGATGAACTTGCCTCTGACCATAACGTCGTCGGCACGGGGAGCATCAGACTCGGCGGTGGAAGAGCAGTACGTCCGAGCTCTCCCATGGTAATTTAATTGGTGCAATGGATGTCTTAAATTTGACTTTTGGCTTGACTTTTAATTTTAACAGAAAAATTGTGCTATGCAGTCCGGTCTGTGGGGGGAGATCCCTGAATGGGGTGGCCCTGTGGGGCAGTTCTCCCTGTCCAAGGGTTCTTTGGTTTTACACTATGTATCGTGCCGGACTCTAATTTTAATGGGCACTAGAAATTTGTTAATGGGCAGTCTTGGACTCAAGAATATGAATTATAGTTTTTTAGGGCAAAAGACACGATGAGGATCTTGACTTATTCTCATTTTCGTTCTTAAAACTTCAAAAGGTACCACCAATTGAGTACTTGAACTCTGCGACTCTCAATTAACCTAGGAGGCTAGGACTTAATTCAATTTGGGTATTATGTTTTGGTTTTTAGTTTCTTTCTAATTTTTGAGATTGCAAACCATGATATGTGCTCTTACATGGACTTCATTATAAAAACCAGACCAAAAGCACAGCTCAAAGGCCTGTTCCACAGTTGACAGTCCAAAAACTATCTGATGAGGTCTGTGATGAGGATGACCTTTTAGTGAGTGGCAAAGCAAGCATTGGGCTTGGTGGAAGGGCAGTGCGGCCACCCTCCCCTATGGTAACTACCTGATCATGCATTACAAATTTGACCATGGAGAGCTTGTGTTTGTTGAAAAAATCTTGAAGAAGCATAAGTTTAACTATAAATTTTTGCTTTGAGATTCTGCTTAGCAGACTCATAACCCTAGCAATCTCAAACACATGTCTAAATTCCATGCACTGGATATTCAGTATTGGAAGTGCTTAGTCTTTCATTATATGGAATTTTGGCTTGAATTTTGTTAGTTACGAGGCAAAGTGTATTTGAGTTGATGAGTTAACTATTTTGATTGAGAGAGCACCTATTTATCGCCCTCGTGAACCATGCTAAAATGCTATTGCACTTCAAGTAAAGTGATTGTAATATTTCATCGTCTATGAATTTTGAATTTTTTTTTTATACTGTGGCCTGGGATTCTGTTTTGAACAATTTCAATTAAGAGGAAAACTATGATTATGTTAACAACCATGTTGTGAACTAAACCAGGGGTATTTTTTGCGTACATAATTTGGGTTTGATGAGTTAAGTTATGGAAATATGAGTTGTCAGGAAGTAATTAATGAAACTTGTTACCCTTTTCAAAAGTTATGACACCAATCAGATTAATAGTAACAATTAGTTATATCATTCTTTTCTAGAACTTTTTGTTTTGGCTACAATTTCATTTGTCAATAAAGTAGAGAAGTGGAAGAACTGGTGCTTAAAGTAATCTCTTCCTATGTTACATATAAATCTTAAAGTAGTGTGAGATTGCATGTTGAAAGGGATCATACTATTGCCTTTTTTTTATTTATTTTTATTTTTTGTAAGTTGTCCTTATGCACTAGAAATTTGTTAATGTCAGACTTAAAATTTCATGAATATGGAATTTTTGGGTGGATAGCACCATAATCCCTTAAGTTTGGACTACTTTCAGTTGGTCACTGGACAGCAAAAGGTATCAATTGAGTCCCTGAAGTTTGTTGTGATTTAAAAATATCATTCACTCTCCATTAACTTTGTACTAACTTTCATTTCAGCTATTTTCAGACATTTCTGAACTGAAGTTTTCATTTATGGAAGAAAGTGTATATTTACTTTCTAGTACTTGATATAACAAACCTTATGTTTCCATGTGGTCACGTGTTTGTGAAAACCAGGCCAAAAACATAGCTCATAGGTGCTTGCCACAGGAGATGTCCCAACAACCATCTTATGAGGACCGTGATGAGGATGACCTTTTAGTGAGCGGCACAGCAGGTATTGGGCTTGTTAGTGCAAGGGCAGGGCGGCCACGCTCCCCAATGGTAACCATCTGATCTGATCATGTATTGTAGGTTTCATACAGGATGGTGTTTGTTGTGCAAATGTTGAAGTGTCGTGTATGTTACATCCTATGCACTAGAAATTCAGTAATTGTCTTCCTTAGTTATGAAAATGTGTTAGTTAAGCAGAAAAGTATGTGATTGAGTTGATAAGTTAGCTATTGAAAGAGACAGTGCCTATGACCCAAGTGCTATTGCACTTCATGTAAGGTGATTGGAATATTAAGTCTTTTAGGAGCTTCAAATTTGGCTTGAGTGATGTCACCTAAAAGAAAATGGGATTAAGTTGACAAGCCACGTTGCGAACTGAACTGGGAACTATTTTGTGAATATATGCTTTGGGTTGGATGAGTTTTGTTACAAAAATGAGAGGTCTTAGGTAACTAATGATCTTTCTTACCCATTTTTCACTAGTTAATACACCAATAAGATTGTGTTATAATAATTGGTCATATTCAGTCGTTTATGTACTAGTAGTTTATGTTTCAATTTTGTTTGTTGATAAACTAGTGCAGTGGGGAATGTGATATTTAGATTATTTAGGATTCTTAAGAATTTATTATTATTCCAGTGTGATTATTATTAGTTTTCCTACTTTCGAGTGTAAGTCCTAGTTGAATTAGAAATTTCAAGTTTTAAGTTAAATTTATATTGAGAATAGGAGTTCTAGTAGGAGCCTTAGTAGTTTCTATATAGATGTGCTTGTAACTTCTTTCATTAAGCAGTCAATCGATACAATCTTGGTTGTATAATGTAACTAACCCTAGGGGTATGCTTGGTTTGAGGGAAATGAAGGGGAGGGGAAGGAAATGGAAGTAAAAGAAGAAGGCCTCCCCTCCAATTTTTTGGGTAACCAAATAGAGGAGTTATCCCTCCTCCCTTCCTGTTTCCTCAAACCAAATACAACCTAGGTGTGATGCTTAAGTGTTCTTATCCTCTTAGGTGTGATTCCTAAAGAACCTAGGTGTGGCTCCTAGGATTTTCTATCTTTCTCCTTATTTTTCTGTTTTTTCCTCTTTTTCAAACCTCAAGTAGCTGCTTAAACCCTATTTCACTGTTCACACAGACTGTTTAGAGCTTAAATTTACCCTAAACAGCCTCCAAATCTCTAAGCCCACCATACCCCCCAACCTAACCTGCATCAAAATGCTTTTGGATAAAATAAGTTGTAGGTGCCATGCCAAAGTTGTCTTCAAATTGCAAAGCCATCCTTTCAACAATCTTGGCATTTATGCAACTTTCTGAAGAGACTTTCACTAAACCTGTATATATCTGCCAATAAATAATTAAAAATATTATTCATGTGAGTATTATGGTGGTTGTTGGTGAAATTTATCTCTTGATAGATGTGTTCTATGTCTAGAGATCACATTTGTATTTTAGCTAATCAGTGAGTGACTGTAGTTCTTGCCAAAGAATATAAAAAAGAGTGGTTGCCATGTGTTGTGCAAAAAAGGAAAAAGAAAAAAATAGAGTGGCCTTTATGTGTACTATCTATGAAGTCACCCAATTTGTATGAATCCTATGTTTATTGTTTTTCCATTCATTGCACATGGTATGATTGTAAAGTGATAGCAACAATGTAAGTAAATTAGAATACATGCACAAGTCAAATGAGAATGGGGATTATGAATTGGCCTTGCCATGTTTTGTTTTCTGTGGATGCAATTATAGCATTCTTTACCAAAATTAACACTATTATTAAGTAATATTATGTGTTTCAAATCCTTTCATGCTGCTCAAAACTTTTCCTCAAGGAAGGAAGGTTATGGTCGCATGCCAGAACTCAAAATTACAAAAGAATATGTTCTTACAAGGGATTCAATTTTTATTAACAGTCAAAAAACCCAGTTCAAAAGTGCATGGCACAAGTGATGACACAACAATCTGCTAATGAGTATACTGATAGGGATGACATTTTAGTGAGTGGAAAACCAAGCATTGGGCTTGCTGGGGGAAGGTCAATGCGTTCACGCTCTACCATGGTAATCCTTTTTTTCTTTTTTCTTTTTTTAACTATGAATTTGATTTCAGATGGATCTGTGTTTGTCTGACAAATTTTTATAGAACAATCATGAATATGACAGCCAACATATTGACCAATGTGAAGTTACTATTCTTCAAGGACAAGCTATATCTAGGACAAGTTATACAAAAGATCTGGGAGACCCCTATTCTACATTATCTATTTATAAGTACCTTAAAAATTTCTAGAAACCTTTTTGTTTTTGGTGATTGGTTAAAGTGCTGCTGAAATATTGACATGCATTTTCATATAATCACATGATATCTATCAGGTTTAGGTTCTTGAGCTTAACAAGTAGCTTTAATAAGTCCAAAAATTTAACATAAACTCGAATGATGTTGATGGTGGGGCAGGTTAGGCGATATAGTGTGCTTGGGGATTTAGAGGCTGTTTAGGGTAGAAAAGAAGGAAAAATTACTTAAGAATCCTAAATAATCTAAATAACTCTTCCTTTTGCTTCTTCTTGTTCCTCATCAGATGTTCTGGTTTCCATTTTAGTGATTGTCCTGTCTTAGAACATCTTTTAAAAATCCTGTAAACTCTAAGCTCTCTAAAGTTTTCTTTTAGTGTTTGACACCATAATTATATGTGTTCTTAGTTGGATTTGCATTGTGAACTGTAGACCAAAACGGCACAAAGTCATGTACAACATGTAATGCCAGAGCCAACAGGTAATGAGCACAATGATGGAAACGACCATTCACATGATAATAGTTCATTGAGTGGCGTCACAAGCATTGGGCATGCCAGTGGAAGGACAAGACTTCCATCTCCTGTGGTAATTGTTCGTTTATCTATCATGAATGTGGATTTTTGGCTTAGCCAAAACCAATGGCACTTGAGTTGACAATTTATTTTGTGAGGTTGAGAATCCAACTAAGCAAAGTTAATCACTAAAACCCGTGGTCAAAAGTTATAACATACTTGTGGTTAAATAATCTGTCTATGTTTTTTTTTTTTTTTTTAATTTTATTTAATTTTATTTTTTTTCTGTTGGTAAGCCAATTTGTCCTTGTATTGAATTTGTTTGTTATTTTAATAGATGAACCATATTAGGGGGGGTTAGTGTAGTGCAGGTTGTCTTCCCAAAAATTTTTTTGGAGGACCTGTGTAAAAACCTACATTCAAGTTAATATTTTCACAAACCAACAATTGGTCTGAAAATTCTATTCATGTAAATCATACAACTCAATTTTCATATTAATCTAACATTTGTAACCCTTTGATCAAAGAAACTCTTAACAGTGTTAAATTTTGTGTAATCAACGAATAGGCCTCCTAGATCAATCTGAAAATTGAATTGCATGATCTATATGAATAGAACTTTCAATATAATGGTTGGATTTTGAAAATACTAATTAGAAGATAAGTTTTTAAACAAGTCCTCCAAAACAATTTTGGGAGGACGACCTGCAAAATACTTTTCCCTAAATATTATGCATGTTAACTCCTTGACATTTGTATTATTTTCTTTAAATGATATTGAACATTCAGCATATGACATGTTGATAGATCTTTCTGTAGCAAAAATGGCAGAGCCAGAATATTTTCCAGTGGTGTCAAATGACTAATGTTTAGTCTCAGGACATATAAATTCCAATCAAATGTGTGTTGTATTTAAAATTCTTTGAAATTTATGGAAAATTGAGTGACACCACTCAGACCACCTAGCTTGACCACATTGACAACAAATTTCAGATACTGGTTGCCATTCCTGAAGATTTATATGGTGAAAGCCTTAAGTATGCTAAGTTATTAAGACTATTATATTAAATTTTGTTTCTTATATTACTTTTGAATGAAATTCTTATGATTCATGTCTTTACTATTAGTCGGTTCGTACCAGTCAAGAACAACCCCCATCCACACATTCAATGTCAAGTGCTCTACTTTCTTTATCCATTAACTCTGTGCAACAACCATCATTGGAGCACTCAACTTCAGCTGACCAGAACTCCAACTCTGTAGAGCAACCCTTGTCTGCTCGTTCAACTTCATATGGACAACAATGTCAGTTCCATTCTGTTGAACAACCTTTGGTCAGCACAAAGTGTAATAGCTAGTTGGTCAGCTTAAATAAATTCTGTATAACAACCTTCATCTGCTCATTTTTTGTCTGCAGATCATCCAAATTTAAAAGTCAAGACAGTTCCTATGGTTCCTGCTAGCATGGCTATATCACTGAAGCCTGCTTCATCTGTGAATCCATCTGAGACCCGAAATGATTATCAGAGAGACAAAAGGTATCTTATATAGATCTAAAATTTTGTGACTTCATTTTGAAGAGTTACTTTAATTGTATCACTCTTTCAAGGTAGATTATGTGGATTACACTCCTTAATCTGGCTTTTTGAAGACATATTATAAGGAGAATAAATTAATCTAACTCCATTACATCACTAGGCATAAGTTTGCTTGCCTTTAAAATGTGATTGATCTGTGGCAACATTAAACTCTTTTGTGTATCATCTCCACTTGCTAGTTTTAGTTCACCAGATATATATGAGTAGTTGATGATTTCATTTTAGTTGACTTAACTCAGAAGAGCTTTTCTTTTGTCTCTTAGTAAGATTTGAATCCAAGCACATTTTCTTTGTATGTATTTTATCCTGCCACTTTCAGCCTGTTTTCACAATAAAGAAAATAAGTGTCTGAAGATCCTTAGATGAAGAAGACATTCAAAACAAGATGTTTGGGATGATTTAGAATGCCCACTTGAATTATTTAAGTCTTAATTCTTTTAACAAATGTATCTTGAAAGTCTAACATGTTGTTTAAGCAGAATGTCAGTAGATTTTGGGAGTGTGAGCTGCTTAAAAGAAAGAGGGAGTCAGAATTCCATGTCTGCTCTTCAAGATGAGGTATGATCACTTTTGAAGCTGATGAAGCCTTTGCTCCCTTTATTCATTTTTATATTTTTATAGCTCCCCTCATGAAAATATTTTGAGGTACTATAGTTTGCGTCTTTTCTTCTTTATTTATTTATTATTTTTTATAATGCTTTTCAATTTTTATTTGTTCAAGTTGATAGGCTTCAAATTTTTGCTTTTCAGATCAGCCATTTTAGGCTAAATATTTGGGCTTTCTAGTAATTTGGATTGCTCTTGATTGCAGCTTGATATGCTACAGGAGGAAAATGAAAGTTTACTTGAAAAGGTGAACTGCATGACTTATGTACTTCATTTCTATGTAACTTTTCTACTGGCTTAGTCTATTAAGTTGTACAAAAGTTAGATTTGAAGAAAATAATTCACTAATCATTGACATCACTCTGGATCTTTTTTCCTTTGAGCACTAAGTTAATTTCTTAACTCCTGCAAGTCTGCAACAGTTTATCTTCAACTTAAAAGATAAAATTGAAGCAACTACCGTCATTCAGATTTCAGATGCTGCTATTGCAGCACTGCTTAATGTTTCAATTTAGGAATAATAATTATGAAGATAGTTGTCTATAATATTTTTGGTGCTTCATGTGATATTTGTTTGCCAGCTACGACTTGCAGAAGATAGGTGTGAGGAAGCAGAAACGAGAGCTCGACAGCTTGAGAGACAGGTGCATTTTACAGTTTCTAGGCATGCCATATCTGTGCTACAGGGGAAGTAGCACCTGTATGGCTGTAAACATCAAGCAAGATAATTTTTTTTTTTTTTTTACTATTGTTTTGCATGTTAGTCTTGAATTGCTTTGATGCAGTTAAATGCATATGGGTTTTAATCTCTGCTCATAATGAAATTGTCCATCAAATAACAAAAAAATAATAATTAAAGGCTTAAAGCTCTCCACAAGAATCACAATCTTTGTCCATCAAGTATGTAACTGCATATGCAGACATGCTGGCCACGAAAAATTTTGCAAAGATGTAGAAAGAAGTTAAAAATAAATTAGAAGGCACCATTGTTACATTGTCTATTTTGTCCATAAGGCGGTTTTAAAATTTTGAGTGCAAAACTGCTGTTATTTCAGTTTTCTTGTGATTGCAAGCACACAGAAGAAATTTGTTTGTTTTTATGGTATTTATTACTCATTTTGTTCACTATTGTTCTTTTTCCTAGGTGTATAATTTATGTTTAATTTCTGCTTGTTAGTTTAGTTTCTTCTCCTGTAATTGGATATATTTGAACGCTTTGGATCTCTTCTGTTTTCTTGACCTTTTTCATCTATAGACTCATGTTACATGTTTTTCTTTAGGTTGCTACTCTTGGAGAAGGTGTAACTTTAGATGCACGCCTTTTGAGCAGGCAAAGCTCATGGTTCTCATGTGTCTATGTTATTTCATCATAGTTCTTTTCTTTTCTTGTTTTTCTAATTTCATGAGTTTTGTTTTCCTCTTCAGAAAGGAAGCAGCCCTGCAGCAAAGGGAGGTCTGTACTATGATTTATGCTGTTTTCATATTTCTACCCTCAGTTACGCTGCATGTGTATATGAGCCATATTCAGTACTGAGAATATGTGTAAAAGCACAACTAAGCGTGACTATTAGATGTTTCAGTGTTTTTAAGCTGACATCTCTGATCTGTTTATGGATACCTCTGCATCCACAACTTTCTTTTTTGGCTTATGACCATAGAAAACTTGTTAGAATTGCTGCAATTGCATGCATATCAGAAAGAATATAAACCTGTTTTGATTCCCTCAATATCACGATATCTTTCTTTCATAATGTGTTTAGATTTTTTTTCTAAAAGTTTGCCAGACATGCTTCACAGAATTGAGCTTTCCTAAAGGCTTAACTTTTCACAGTTCAACTAACTGAAGTTGCGATTCATAATTGTAAATTGTCTTTGTAAACTCAATTTTCATTGTTGCAGAATGCAGATTACTAGTCCTTTGCCTCTTCAATGAATTAATAGCAAAGAGAAAGAAGAGAATTCCCATTTCCTTTCTTCTGTTTTACCATAAAAATATAAAAATTCAATCAGGAGGGGATAAACTTTCAGTAGATAGAATTTCCTGCAGAGAAAAATAAGCATGAGCACACACTTACACAAACCTGCAATGCATACAATAGATGTGGCTTGTGCAATGCTAATGACTGTGAACCAAGAACAAAACTCTTCATAAAAAAAAAAAAGAGTGGGTAGATGGTGTACTGTTATGTTTGTTATTCCACTAGCAGTTTATTGGGTCAGAAAATAATAAAATAGTGAGAGTATTATTTAGAATAAGGTGACTAATGCCAAAATAAATGTCATTAAGGGAATTATAGCTGTCAGTGGATGCATGTGCATGAGAAAAATGCTAATTTTCTCTTTCAACAGAATATAAATGTAGTTTGCAGGTTGTTTCATGATCATGGCAGAGCATTTTAGTAAAACAAAAGTAAGCATAAATAGCCAAATATGTAAAGCCACATCTCAATACACTAGGCCAAGAATCTGCAGTGGGCTTTAGGCAAATGGGAGGTTGCCTGACATATGGCTTACTTCATTGAGGAAAACATTAAGTTTGTCTATTTTAGTCTAGTTTTCAATTTCATACTACATACTGTTTCATTTTAGTTGGTGGTGCAAGGTTTTCAGGTTAGAACCATTCATATTCCATTTTGGGTTTATCAGAACAATTATATATTTCTCAAAAAAAAAAAAAAATGCAGAAAGGAATATAAAAATGAAAAAATATTAATTGAAAAACATTGTATCAATATACATTTGAGTTTCTCATATACCAAATAATAAAAATTTCAAATCTTTCCTAATCTATTTCAAAATTACTATAGATTTTTTATTCCATTTAAAGTACATGTTTCAGGGGAATGGACTAGAACACCCAGTACCAGCATGAATAGGTTAGAACAAGAGCCAAAGTGGAACAAAGGATGAAAATTGTTCCAGCTTGAAAGAAAATACTGTAGCAAATTGAATAAGTTAATTTCATAGATTTCAATGGTTGTTTCTACTTCTTTTTTCTTCAGTAATAATTTACTGTATCTAATTTCCACAGTTGTACTATTTTTGTTAGATGGGAATAGAAAAACAACATATAAGATGGTTTGACATGGCCTTTCTTTTTGGCAGGCTGCTCTGAGGGTTGCAGCACAAAGTTCTTGTGGTAATCCCAAAGAGGTCGCTGTCCTTCGTACAGAAGCTGAGGTCGCCCACAATTCTATCCTGTACATTTTGAGTTTTTAATTTTTGGCTGTTGTTTTGAGTTTTTATTTAAAACTTGACATTTTTAATGGGTTGACAATTTCCTGGCACAACTTAATCTATAATCTTTGAACTGCAAGTTAGATGGCTACAGATGAGGCAGCATCTGCTTTAGAGCAGCTCCATGAAGTTGAATGTGAAATCAAATCACTTTGGCACCTGAATCATAAAATGATACTGACTCAGGAAGAGATGGTTGGTGCTAAGTTCTAAGGTTGTTAAAGCCATTTCATTTTTGTACTCCCTTGTGTCATAGTTACATGATGTGCAGTTTTTATCTTAGGAAGAGGTTGTTTTAAAGAGGTGCTGGCTTGCTCATTATTGGAGTTTATGTCTTCAGCATGGTAAAGTGTTGGTTTTTAAGATATCAAATTTCTGCTTTTATTTCAGTCAAGTTGAGTTGATTAAGCCTATTAGGCTGCTATTTAGTTGCAGCTGATATAAACTAGGGGCACAATGCATTTGATTCCTTTGAGATCATTTCTTAGTTACTGTCCAAGTGAACACCTAACTCAAGGGCACATGAGATATATATACATATATATATATATATGAGATAGGATTCTCTTACACACAAGTTTTACACAAAATCGTAGCCATTCATTTTACCATGACGGTTGAGATTTATCACAATCTTTTAGATGAAAAGACAATTATCTTTTAAAAAAATAGGATAAAAGTGGATAAATCTCCGTAAAAAGATGAACAGTTAGGATTTTGTATAAGAATTGTGTAAGACTTTGTGTAAGTGGATATATATATACATTGTAAATCTTACCTAAATTATTAGCAATTGATTTCCAAATTCTATTTGAGATATGTTATCAAATATAGCACCATCATTTCAACTGTTGGATTTGGGATCAACAATTATAATTTATGTAAGGATTACACATGTCAGTATCTACCGACTCTACATATATATATATATATATATGAGTAGGGATCCACTTACACTCAAGCCTTTCACACTAGACAAAATCTCAACCATTTATCTCTCCACTTTCAATGGTTGAGATTTGTCATGACTTTTTGGATGAAAAAGATAATTATCTTTAATAAATGTGAATAAATCTCAATTATTGAAAGTGGAGAAATGAATGATCAAGATTTTGTGTAAGTGTGGTGTGTGAGACGTGTGTGAGTGGATCCCTCCTCTCTCTCTCTCTCTATATATATATATATGAGTAAGGATCCACTTACACACAAGTTTTACACACAACACTAACATAAAATCTCAACCATTCATCTCTCTACTTTCAGTGATTGAGATTTATTCACATATATTAAAGATAATTATCCTTTTGATCTAAAAGGTCATGACAAATGTCAACCATTGAAAGTGGAGAGATAAATGGTTGAGATTTTGTATAAGTATGGTGTGTAAGACGTGTGTGAATGGATCTCTCCTCAATATATATAAATATATATATATATGTAAAATTGGATCAGTTGAGAACATGTTAAAAATTTAAGAAATGTTTTTCATTTACTGCTGTTTCTTTTATCTCTTTCACTGCTTGTCAATTTTTAAAATTATGAACCCAGTGCAAAGTCTCGATGAAGCAATCTTTCCTAGAAATACCTTCAAACATCACTAGGGCTAATTGAAGCACCAATTGGAACAAAAGTATGCTGTTTAATGGCAATCATAAACAATTAAACATTCTTATCTTACATTGCATTTTGTGATATTAAATGTATGTCCCTCTCACTTTTTGATGTATGGTGGCTTATATAATAATGTTAAACACCATTTCAGTAAAATAGCTGAGTAATCCATTTATAGTTCCTTCTGCTTACAGATTTTTAGTGCACTCTTATTATGTTTCTTTTGTGGTTCCCATACCCTTTGGGCAGGTGTTCATGCAGATATTGCTGGAGCAAGGTTTGAATATTGGTCATCTTTGGCACCTCTACCTGATGAAATTGTATTAGATGCTGGACAAAAAGCCAAAGAGGATAACTTGTCATGTAAGATTTCTTTTGCAAGGGATGTTATTTTCCTCTTTTTATTATTTTAAGCTTGCAACTGAGCTGTGAAAGGTGTTGGCAAAATAGATTGCTATATGACTTTTCTTTTCAAAGAAATTCATTTACAGTTCTTGTCTTCTAGAACCAGTTTCTTACTTCATTTTTTTTTTCTTTTGTGGGAATGGGGTTTTTGCTGGGGTAAGGATGATAAATGTATTGGCTTTTCTTATTTCCCTTCTCTTTATTCCCATACTGAACAGCCAATAATGAACTATCGGCAGAGGGAAATGTTGAAAGCATGCTTGTAGTTGAGAAAGGTCTGAGAGAATTGGCATCATTAAAGGTATCTGTTGTATCCTTTAATTTTGCATTTTTTAAGTAGTTAACTTCTTTCTTCTCTGTTATTGTCACTTGGCATGGAGCTGAAATATCTTAGACCTTTCATTTAGTGATAAATGTTATAAGGCATTGAACATAAGTCAATAATAGGTGAAGATGCCCAATTTAAATAAAAGGCCACAAAAAACCATGAATTAACTGAAGTTAGATGGTGGCCAAAAGAAATAAAAAAAAAAAACACAACTGACGTCAAACATTTCCATTACCTAAAAAATTGCTTATTCCTTGCTCCACATGGCTGGCTCTTCTTTTTTCAAAGTAGCCAAATAAATGCTTAAGATAATGCATGATGAGTATTGTATATGCATTCTTTACAGGAATAGTGAATGGTGGTGGTTTGTTTTAGAAGAAATAGTTATAAATGTACCCAGATCTCTATGATTGCTGACATTTAAAAATTTTACCTCACAAGATAAATTACATTTCTAACATCAAAATTTCTTCCTTAAGTAACATGAGACTGACACTTTTTTCTGGCCAATGCATGAAACGGACTATTTACATATTTTGCCCCTTGAAAGTTGAGGTACATGGAAGTCAAAGTTATATTAGTAATTTGTTGTAAATATCCAACTTAAATCAATTGGTAATAGATGGAGTAGTCCTTATTGTTTTTATGTCCACAGCTTCCCACTTAATACTCCTCCTTGTGCAAGCCCACTGGGCTGTCACATCATGTGGACTCACAACCGTGGTCCAGCAGCCCCTCACAACTTATGCAGCAACCACCATTTGGTCACACAATAAACAAGCTTGTAGGAACCATCCTTGGGTTGCACACACAACTGGACCTGCAACATTAAATGGTATCTAAAACTAATTGGCAATAGGTGTAGTCAACAAGTTTCCCTTAACTCAATGATGTGGGATTTTCCCGCTTAGCATTCGAAACTCTTTTAATGTAACATTTCAACTAGTGTCATACTGGTCCTATAGTCTCATATTTTTTCTCCCTTTGAAATATGCAAAAGTAGGATAGATCTGCTTGAAAGAAGTTAATGATCCCTCAATAACCCAGTGGACGGTGAATCTGTTGTCCCGTTAATTTTAAATTTTTTTTTTTGCTTTCTTTCTAAAACAGATTCTGGTAACAAGTTTTAGTTACCACTCAAAAAAAACAGGAATACTCACTTTGTGTCTAGTTCTTCTAATGATTTTTTTTTTTTTTTGAAGGTAGAGGATGCAGTTGCATTTGCAATGGCTCAAAGCCGGCACTCAAATCCTCCAAAATTTGGTATTTATTGCTTTAGATTTAGTATTTTCCTGTTAGTAGAAACTTTATAAATAGGTGTTCTACAACTGGAAATGTTTGATGATTAGCCTAACACTTGCCTATTATTTTCTTTATAAATATAGGTTTGTCATAGCTGATCTACTAGGAACCAGTGTTGTCAATAGCAGCCACTATGACCAGTATTAGTGTAGCAAAAAATGAATAGGGACGCCATAGCCACAATAATGGCTGCTATTTTAGTGTTTTATTGTCTTGGTAACTTTTTTTTTTTTTTCTGGCCTTATGGTAACTTGTTGATTGTTATGATTTTATTTTCTTGAGAATATTATTTATGTTTTTTGTTAATTTCTCATAAGCTATTAGGTATTTTGCGCCCTTTTCCAATAGGTCTATTCATTATTTATTTATTAAATTTATATTTTTCTATTTTTAGATGTCTGCTATTTTGTCAATAGCAGTTGCTATACTATCCACTCTGAAGCCAAGAGAAATGTAAGAGAAGGAAATGGAAAGAAAAAACTGAGGCAGATCCAAAATTTAGAAAGGTGAAGGCCAAAATAATATATATATATATATATACACACACATATGAGAAAGGTGTGGGGGCTAAAAGAAAAAGTGGGTAAGAACTAAGCTAGGGATGAGAAGTTTGGAAGAGACACAAGAAAAGAAGACTAAAATAATGGATAAAGAGCTGGAATGGTTGCCAGGGGGAGAACAAATAGCAGTAAAAAAAAAAAAAGATATTAAAGAGGAAGAGTTATCATCCAGAAGCATTAGAAAAGTTTTATTGATTCTTTCTTGTTATTTGTTATGTTTAATCTCTACACATCAAGCTGTGTCACATAAAGACTTGAGTAGTTGGCTCAGACTCTGTATATATCTTAGTAGTTGGTTTGTTGTCCACCTTGTGTCTGGTCTTTTAGTGGTGGGATAGAGCACACTCAGCAGAGGTATACTGCCAAGACCCATCATCTTATAGAGTTTCTTTTTCATTACCAAAGGAGGAGCAACTGACTTGAACATTCTTTTTGAAGTTGTTTAATGAACTCTCAGATTGTTTCTTTTGTCATAAAAGTGGTCCTTTTCTGACGATATATGTATTCATAGAAGTTAAGACTTTGATTTTGTTCAAGAGATATTTTGTCTCCTCCATCTATGATTGAAGTTTATGATAAGATTACTGAAGGCCCTAGTTGCTTGACATTTCTTGAATGTTATTATTGCAGATGAGGTGAAACTACCTATTGAGGGTCAGTTTGAAGCATTTGGTAAGTCTTTACCTTAGAAGCAGCTTCTAATTCTTAATAAGGCTGATATAGAAGTTCATTCTTTCACAGTTACTGGTGGGTTTTTACATGCAACCTTAAAGTGAATTGACATGTTTTCTGAACTCTACTTTTTACTCATT